TGCTTAAATGCTAAAGAAACAGAAAAGTCACAAGAACGAGATTACAAAAGTGTTAAAAATCTTACCATTATATGATATGAAACAAATATGTAAAAACGGGGCAATTAACAACTGAGATTTTTTTCAGAAAGACTCAAGAACAATATATTGCCTATCTGTAGGTAATTAACTTTTTTAAAAAGTGCAAAAGTTTTTATTATTTTTTTCCTACCAAATTGTGCAAATGCACCAAACAGAAAAGGGCAGACTTAAGTAAAAAATATTCCACAGGAAGAAATAAATTTTGACATTCAATTCAAACTAATTTTAAAAACATTACTACAGAAAATATACAAAGAAAGAGAAAACTAACTGGGATTAGTAACTTATAACTGAGATATTAAATACAACATCTCAGGTTCGGACTCAAATAAAACTGGAAACAAACTGTCTCATCAAAGAAGACTTTAGGTGAAATAAGTAATAAAAGTGACAATGAAATCGAAATTACAGGTATTGAGATTGTTATTTCTTGGAAAGAGACATTGTTTTGAACATATATATAAATTGTGATGACAGACTTCAAAACTGTGCAGAGTTGAATAACATATAGAAAGCATATTTCAAGGTCATTTAAAAACTAAAGGAAAAGGTGAAGAATTAGTTTAAAATTTCTTTCAAAATGCAATGCAATATGTTGATGTACTGTTTGCTTTTCAAATTATTAGTGATAAAAGATTTTATGAATTTAATTTAATCAATGGAAGAAGAAATAAATGAAGAAAACTTACTAGAAACCCAAAAACATATGAGCAGCTAAAACCCGATAACAACTTAAGATATTCAACCAATCAGAATAAGACCAGAAAAATAACCACTAGAGAGCGGTTTGAGCGACAAGTTTTTATGCGAACAATTAAAGAGTTTATTTTTGATTCATTCCCCACTCAAACATTCCTCTTTTCAGATATTTGCTGATATTACCATCTCTATTTAAATTTGTAATAATATTCTAGCCATTATTTTCATAAAAGGGAAGGAATGAATACGGAAAATTCAGAGGATACCCGTGTGAAATATGTAATAAAATTTTATGTAAAAAAAAAGTACTAGTGAACCACTAGAATCTTTAATGTGGTGTTGTAGCTCAAAAACCAAAACTTGTTCTCGCTATAGGATATCAATTTCTTTTTACTATTAGTATTTACAAAGGAGAAGTTGAACAGGCTTTCAGCTAAATGAAGAGTATTTCCACAAAAACACAGTGTATTTCAAATTTGAAGACAAACTTAAATGGGGAAATCTTTAGAAGAATTAAATTCTATACCTTATGTAAAAACTCCTTGAAAAATCTCTGCTTAGTTCCTAAAACCTTCTACAAGATCAACTGAAGTGAGAGAAGAAAATAGTGTCTTCTAACTTCTGATGCAAATTGTGCATATAATTAAATTTATTTGATACTTTATGTAATTTCTTGTTATTTTTTAATTTTAAATATTTTTTCATGCACAATTATTTGTATTTTCTTTGAATTATTTTGTGTTTTTGTAAAAAGTAAAACATTTAATTATAATTTGGTATTTTGTTTTTATAAAATAGAGAGTGACCTCTTTGTAAATATTATCACAATTTACCACTGGATATTTCAATCAAAATTTATAAATTTATACATTAAGTTGATAAATTACAATTTCGCATACATTGGCAAAAACATTAAACTCTGCTGCATCTTTTATAAATTCTTAAAACCTCAACTGTACTATACTTTAAAATATTTTTTGCCCATGGCAAAAATATATATGCACAAAATATAACCTGAAGTTAGAATATTCCAGATGTTTTTTTTCTACATACAAATAAGTTGTTTTTATTTATTTAATATTTCACCACTAATTTATTAACACTTTAAACATTGTATTGGTCCCTTACAGGATCTTACTCTCTTTGGCCACATCCTACTAAGGAACTTGGCAACTTATCGCACAAGAGTGAAATAATACCAGCACAGAAGGGTGAAAATAACCCTTTATTATAAATTTTAAAAAAATGCATATATATATATATATATACAGTACAAAGTCTGTAATCCAGGCGTCCATTATTTGGAATGATCTATAATCCGGAACTCAAAGCCATAAACTTCTTTTTTTTTTTTTTTTGTATGCTTTACACATCCGCGTTTAATGTATAATGGATGGTATAAGCAAGGCTAAAATTATCTTTACTGATTCTAAGTAAAGATACATTTCCCTTAATGTTGCAGATTGTGCTGTCCCTTAATCTTCTAATTGGATCTGGCTTATTATTTTTTGCAGGCTGTTAGAGCAATTTTATAAAAGTAAGCTTCAACTTTCGATTACGTCAAATAGAATTTCCAACGCTAGAACTGCCGAAGGATTTACAAAGCGAAAGTATGTTTCGATGTCCATCAAACAAAAAGTGGAATTGCTGCAAAAAAATGGATAAAGGCATATCCTTTTTTTCTCTAACCATTCCGAAATCTGTTTATCAATTTCATGCTGCTCTGCGGTGGGGGGAGGAGGACTCCGCGGCGCGCAATGAATTGGAAGTTGATCTGTCAGCCCTATCCTTATCTTCAGGGCAGATGCTTTTATTTTATTTGGCTTATAGTTCCTTACTAAATGTAGTATTTCATCTCGATGTACTCCGTATTTGATATTATTTAAATCAAATTCCTCATCATTATAATTCGCTTCCGATAGTGAAGAAAGTGACACAGAGGTTATTGAAAACGAAAAAATTTCGATTGACAAATTAGTCGGTATTCTCGACACAGCAATTATAGGACTTGAATAGCGGAACTTTGTAACTGAACAAAAAATTATGTCTGTTTATAGAATTAAAGAAAAAGTATTAGCACATAAAACGAAGCAACTTAAACAACTTACATTGAAAGAAATGTTTAATAAAGTAAACAAATAAATATTAAGCTTTTTTTTTTTTTTTTTTTTTTTTTTTTGTAAATTTGGATACCCTTTAGATCATAATTGTTCTTTATTTCATAAATTACGGTTTCATATTTTCAATTTTATAATTTCTGCATGCCATCTTACCCCATTTAAACTGATGATCTATAATCTGGAAAAACCGATTATCTGGAATCGCCGAAGTCCCGACGATTCCGGATTAACGACTTTTGACTATATTAATCCCTTAACTACCACGAAAAATGTACAAGGTTCACTTCCCAGTGCCACCGTTTTTTACACAGGCGAGCGAAATCATGTGATGTATTGGGGGTAAAATATGTGCAAGCTTTGCTGTCTGAAACCTGTTTACTTTCACAAAATAAAGAATAAAAGAAAAAATTAAAATATAAAATTTAATGTTTAGAGTAAAAGTATAATAAAAGGAATGTAAGTATAATAAAAATTATGTTTGTATAATAAAAAAAGATTCCTCCCCCCCCCAAAAAATGGAGTTTCAATCAATTTATTTTTAAACCAGTAAAGTGTAATACAGTACAAAGTCTTTAATCTGACATCCATAATCTGGACCTCAAAGCTACAAACTTTCTGCGCATGCGTAAACGCATAATGCATTTACGCATGCGCATAATACCTTTACGCATGCACATAACACCTTTACGCATGTGCGTTTAATGTATAATGGACAGTAAAGCTAGGCTAAAATTATCTAATTATCTATTTCAGTTAATATTGCAGATTGTGTCGTTCCTTAATCTTCTAATTGGATCCGGCTTATTACTTTTTGCAGACTGTTAGAGCAATTTTATAAAAAGTAAGCTTGAACTTTCGATTATGTCAAAAAGAGTTTCTAATTCTGTAGCTGCCAAAGCACCTACAAAGCGACAGCATGTTTCGATGTACCGCTTCCGATAGTGAAGAAAGTGACAGAGAGGTTACTGAAAACGAAAAAATTTCAATTGACAAGTTAGTCGGCATTCTCAACACAGCAATTACAGGACTTGAACAGTGGAACTGAACAAGAAATTATGTCTGTTTATAGAATTAAAGAGAAAGTATTAGCACAAAAAACAAAGCAACTTAAACAACTTAGATTGAAAGAAATGTTTAATAAAGTAAACAAATAAATATTAAGCTTTTTTTGTGTAAATTTTGATATCTTTTAGATCATATTTGCTCTTTATTTCATAAATTACGGTTTCATATTTTTAATTGTATAATTTCTGCATGCCATCTTAAATTGATGCCAGATTTAAATTGATGATCTATAATCCGGAAAAACCCTAATCCGGAATCTTTAAGCCCCGACGAGTTTGGATTAAAGACTTATGTATTAGGCTATATTAGACTGTATTATGTAGACTGTATTAGGTTTCAGTGTTATACCCCGTAAAATTAGTATACCTAAACGGAAAGTGTGGAGGTAACATAGGCATGTTTTTCATATCAAGTTGTATCCAGTGTCGAGCATCTTTCAGAGAATAATCACAATCCTCTTCATGTATGACATAATATCATATTCTGAGGTAATCCTTAAAGTAATCATCTACTTCATTGTCATACATATTTGTAAAAAAAAAAAAAAAAAAAAAAAAAAAGCAGCTACTACAAACAGTAAACGAAAAGAGAAAAGACGCAATACAAAAGTACGTTTTACTCAAACAGAAACATGTTAAATAACTGAGCAGTCATTACTTTTGCCATTTCAGAAACATCTCCCTCTCTAGGTCTTCCTCCCCCCCCCCTTCACAGAAATAGCATCTTCCTTTGCATACTCTGTCAAGATCATTGTGATGTTGAATTCCAAAGCTTTGCAAATAATTTTACTAGGAGCAGCGCAAAGCAAATGATAACATTTCGGAAGGGTGTATATATATGCATGGGGCAGTTAACGCATCGGCTGAGCAAGACATATATATACGCCCGTGGCAGTTAATGGGTTAAAATAATAAAACAATAATTTAGTATAAAAGTTAAAATAATTATGTAAGCAATAAATACAATGAACATTTTAACAAATTTATCATTATTTCTAAGAGACATACCAGTAGAAAAAAACAACATTACACTTACCATACATGTTGTACTAAACTTAAATCAGATCAGCTTTCACAAAATACCAGCGATCTGGAAAATTTGCAGGCAATAATCCAAATTAACCTTTTCTTTTTAGAGAGCTATAGAATCAAAAAAAGAACGCATTAATACATCATGATAAAGTAAATAGCACACAGGGTACTTAATTAAAAGTTTTTTTTAAAACACAATTAAACATCTATATGTATTATTTTAAATTTAGGGTGTACAAAAATTTAGCAAATTTCAGATTTTGCAGTGGTGAATGCCTATCAATCATTTAAGATCTTATCAGTATGCCTTCTTTATGCTTTTCAGTCAGACTTAATAGCATTCTATAAATATTCAAGAAAAACTTTGTATACTATAACACTATCTCATTTATCACTTTGATGTTAGTAATTTCAAGCTAATTTTGTATTTTTTTTCTGTCAAAATCATTTTTTACATTATTTCTAGTCTATTTTGCTTATTCAATTTGTTAGAAAATTAGAAGCTTACTAGTCTTGAAACAAAGTTTGAAGAACTTTAAAACATTTAAGGTGGGTTATAACTTTGGTTTATATATTTGTATCACTTCATGTTTTTACTGTCACTTGTCATGTATCATTTTTATGCAAAATTTTGTTTCATTAATAATATATAAAAGAGTTAAAGAAGAAAATGGTGGAGCATAGTAAAATCTAAATCTTTCAGGTTTCACTATGTTTCATGTATGTCCTAGATGAGAACATTTTTTTCTTTCATATCATTAGGCATCTTACATTAATTAATCAGTTATTTATAATATCAGTGTTTACTATAACTTCGTCTTTCCGTAATCCTGACCAACATGCAAGGATTTGAGTTAGTGTGTTTCTGGCATTACATATATACTATATGCTAGGTTGCAGTTAGCTCTAATATTTGCACTTATTCAGCTTTTCAGCTTCTCGTTGCCAATATTTTGATTCTAACTCTCCTGTAAATTTAACAAGACAGCTTCTAGTAGTATTTAATTGTGTAGTCCTTGACTGATCTTCAACATTAGATTTAATTTGGACTGTTCTGTTTTATTTTGCAACCCCACCAGTACCCTTATTTTCTAAATTCTGTTTAAGTCAAATAGTTATTTTTATTTTCTCAAGACTTGTCACTGTTCTCAGACATAGTGATAATTTCCTTCATGTTTGTAAGGGCTATTACACTAAAATAGCATTACCAAATCAAGCACAACCCTGCAAATGATGCTAAAAAATATCATGCATCGCACCACAAAACAAAGCAATATTTAATCTGCCCCTCACAAGACTCAAGGCTTCACGGACACCAGGCTTTGGGTTAATCTGGATAGTATGCGAGCTTCGATAAAACCAGCCATTATATTTGATGTTAGAAGTTTGGCAGTGACGTTTTTGAAACATTTACAGATGCACTTTCTATATTTCCTGATTGTCAAATTTAAGGTCATAACAACAACTGCAGTGATAGGCACTCAGCTGGTACAAAAGAATGAGTAAATTTTTTTGAGTGAACCAGGCAGTGGGAATTTAGGGTTCAAAATATTTAAAATCACCTTTCTGAAAACATTTGCATACTGAAATACAGAAGGTACAGCTATCCCAGAAAGAAAAATAATTTCTTTCAGATTCAATTAAATACACTATTCAGAAAATTTTTTTCACAGTTCTTCATTTGTCCCCGGTGGTGAAGATAGGGTGAAATTAGAAGCAGAACTGTTTGGAAGATATCAAGCTAAGCTATTTTAAATGCAGAGAGGACAACAATTAATTTTCAGAAAAGTACTGTGCAAATGGAAATGAATCAGCTGGTGGAAAAAGAAATCCAATCACCGGTCATGGATCAAAGAGTGAAACCGGAGCAGTTGGTAAGAAAATTTTTAGATTTATTTGAAGATGCCCCAGGACAGATTCTGGTGGTAAATCCCACTATAGAAAATAGAAATTACCTCCCCCACATCCATAGACTGCAAACTGCAGCAAAATTTGTCAGTAGTCAAACACGCGAACGACATTTTTACAATTTTAAAAATGTGCCCGAAACTCATATTTTATTTAACCACTCATTAATTTTAATGAATCACTGTATTAATTAACTGTAATCAATTTTATTACATTTAAAATCCACATATATATATATATAAAACTGAATAATTAAAAATATGTCTTGTAAATTATATGCACATTTAATTAGAAATTTTCATTTAACTCCTTAAGCATGTATATCAATCACTAAATTTACTAATATATGATTGAAGGAAGTATTTTAAATTACTACTAATCATAGAAAAATCAGAATCCACAAATCATATATCTTTATTCTGGATCTAATTTTTCCCAGGGAAATAAAATTTTAAAAAATTTACATAACCAAGAATAATACATATAACTATTAAAAAATACGTACAATTTATTTATAAATTACGAATGCAATGATTTATATGTAGCATGCTTAAGTTCCGATTTTGAGAATGTTTTTTTCTATCACAGTTCTTCATTTGCCTGTATACTTTTTTTCAATCGAAACTGCTTTGACAGGTTAACCATTTCACGTGCGATGGTCGCGTTCTGAAACCATCAGTTTTCGAGTTTTTTTCTCCTCTTCTTTCCGAAAATTTTGAGTGAAAATTAATTGATTACTGATCTTTTAACACAAATTGTCTGCAGAATCATACATGTTTTAGGTCTTAGTACTTCATACATGTTTTAGGTCTTATTACTACTAGGATGCCTTTTAAAATTCATTTTCAATGAGACAAAATAACTTCCTTTTATTAATATAAACAACTTTAAATTTCAAAAGTTATTCATCGCACATCATGAATTCTATCATAAACAATAAAAAATAGCAATAATTAAACTGCATGTATAAGAAGAAACCCTCTATATGTATGGCATTTACTTTGTGGTTTCAGGGAGCGACACTGCGCCACTAGAGCTCGGTGGTCGCGCCTTGAAACCACTGCTCTTCACAATGGCATCTACCTGCTTCTCAAATAGGAATTTTACCAGGATATAGATAAGGGGTTTTAAAACCACAGAGTTATTTTATTACTAAACAATACATGCACCTGCCCAGTAAAAAAGTCTTTCTTTTCCAGAGACTTTTCTCTGACTTCAACACACTTGCTTCCCAAGCTAGTATTGTGATTTTGTAAATAATTTCCTGTGGTTTAAATTTAATGTAAATATACTTTGCTATAATTAAAAATAGAAATCACGTAAAGTTTTATTTAAATTTAAAATATTTTCTGAATATTCTGGGATGAAATACGAATAAAATAAGTATGAATGGGAAACGAATGATCTGTACCAAAGCCAAAAAGACAAAGCCTCCACCCCATTAACATAAAAAACCACAAATTTCATGTGCCAGATGAAAAGAAACTAAATAACACTGGACACATACCAGTGAAATTTGATCCAAGCCGTGTACATTTTGTAGCACAAGGAAGAAACCTCATAGAAAACGATGCATGTGCGAAACGTGCAATGTGGGTCTATGCATGTACCAAAAAGACAAAATATGCTTTGAACAGTTTCACAAAAAAAATTTGTTCTTTGAAATTAAAAAAAAACACTGAGTCTTTTTTTTATCCTTATTTTACTGAGTTTTTTAATCCGTTTAGCCAAATGTTCTTATTAAGTAGGTACCTAAACAATGTAAAAAAATTATATATAATGCAATACATACATTTTTTTTAATTCATAAATTTCGTCATTGATTGGAGAAAGGTAAGTTCCCCCCCCCTACTACTTCAGTAAGTTTCAAAGTTCTAGACGCGCGGTGGTTTCACAGTGAAACCACCACCCAAAGAACAATGGGCAAGAGTAGATTTTTTTTAATTCATGTTATTTGTTTCTAGTGTTAGCTCTTTTATTTTATTTACCGAATAAAGCATAAATTTTATTTAGCTTAGTCTTAGCTTCATTTAAGGGAAGCAAAATATGCTTTGCTTTTATCACCACTAACATCAGGGTTATGGGCCCAGCGCCAACAGCTAATCAGTCATCCAGTTCAACTCAGCATTGAAGGAATGTAGGTGAAGAGGGCCGTTATCCACGAAAAGAAGCTGACCTGTCTTAGAAGTTTGTTCAAGTCGTTGTGCTCACACTTAATTGAAGATGTCATTACTACCTGAAGGTTTTGAGTTGTTAAACCATGACAACTGGGATCGATGGAAAGTCGACATGAAAATGCTGGTTACTGGATAGAAATTGTTGGATCTTCATAGAGGACAAAGAAGAAGAATTAGATAAAAGTGCAACAAGGCGTGAAAAGCAGGAAGTTCACACTGAGAGAGAACAGAGCCTTCACTACATTATATTACGGAATTAAAGCTGAGTTCAGGCCGCTGATACAAGAATGTTCAAGTGGTAAAGAAGCATGGGAAGTTCTACAGAAGCAATTCGAACTCAAAACAAGAGCAAGGATAATTCAGTTACTGGATGAATTTTTTAGTATTAGATATACCCAAATGAAGAAATAGGATTATTCATCGCGAGGATAAGAATGACTGCAAAGAAGTTGGCTGAAGCTGGTCACAACTTGGCAGATCTTTTTAAAGGATTCCAGGCAATAAGGAGATTACCCAGGAATACGCCGGCATTGTACAGTTGATCTATAGGTGGAAGGACGAAGATTTTACGCTGGAAAGAATTGCTGAAGAAGCTGGTAAGGGAAGAAAGCCGACTTCACCAGGTAATGCCGATTTAGAAGACAGCAAGGTAAGCGTGTTTAATACTATTAGTTCAAATGCAGGGAAAGATAAAGTTGAAAATAAAACTAAATCTAAGAAAAAAATGGGGAATATGAGAATAGGACCTTGTTTCAGATGTCATAAATTTGGGCACTTAATCGCTCAATGTAAAGAAAATGTAAGTAAAAATCAGAAGTTTAAAATAGACGATAAAAATGGACAGTTTAAAGATAAAGAATTAATGTTAGTAGAAAATTATGTAACAACTACAGATAAAGGAGGTAACGCAGATAAATTTAATTGGGTCGTAGATACTGCAGCTACAACTCATTTCTGTAATAATAGAAATTTAATGACAAATTTTGAAGAAATAACGATATACGTATGTCTTTAGCTGTAGGA